CGAGATTCAGCTCATCCGAAAAATTCTGGATATTTTTATAAAATGTCGAATGCACCACCACTCTTCACTTCTTAATATGAAGTTGCATGGAAATGTTGCAACAGTAAGGCAAAAAAAATGACAAAACTCGTACCATTTAACAATTATTGTTAAAACCTAAATAAAAAAGTGTAAGTTTAGAAGTTTTTTGTTAAACTGTGTATGTGTTTACTATATAAATAAAGTATATAAACTATATATATAATTATACCTATTTCACGTATTAGTTTTGCTTTTGCTTAATTATTCCACTTCAGAATTGTAGTTACGATTTTTTAAACCTGAAATAGTTAAGAGAGTTTAATTTTGTTATATTTTCAGGAATAACTTATCATACTTTAACTGTTTAAGAAAAACCAAAATTGCTAAATATTGCTGCAAATCTCCGGATGTCAATGAGATAGAAAGAGACATACAACCGTCAGGACAGAGGGTTGCCTACATTTTGACTTTGCCTCACTTTTATTGTGCATAGGGTCCGTGACAGGTACTTGAATACAATTCATTGGCAGCGTTGTTCTGCAAGTTGAAAAAAGACAGAATTAGTCTAACGATCCGGAGTTGTCTCGTAACCACCGCAACGCATTGCCAAGTTCACCTATAAGATTGCCACCCACCTGTCTTTACCATCGTAAGATGGTTACGGTAGCTACGCCAAAACATACAGAAGTTACTCAAAATATTAATAGCTTCAGAGGCATATATGAGCACGCTACAATGATAACATGCATGATAACGAAGGTAACTTCACGACAGCCAAGCCGATATTCTGTCGTTTTGCTTACAGACATTGACGTTGACAATGTTAACCAAACAATAATAAATATTTATCTATGTTTTTGAATATATTATTATATTTATAACATGACTGACTAGTTTGATAATTGTATAATTATAGAAGCTCCAAGCAGTCATTATCTAGTTAACCTACATGGTGTTAAATGAATTGCAAAGTGAAGAAAATAAATGGAGGATTTGTAATGTTTGTAAACAGACATGTATTTTAATGTTTTATAATAATTTCTTTCAGTGCTAAGCAGTGCATCCACAACCACAGAAATCCGGTTTTTAAATTAAACTCATCATGTTTAAAGCTATTCTTCTCAGCTAAAACACGGGAAGACGAGCAGGTTGTGAATAAGCAGTACATTCAATTAAGACACGTTTTGGAGCATCAAAGAGTGGAAAAACGGTAACTAAAGTGGGATGTATGTAAAAATGCTTGATTGTTGTATTTTTAAATTTCAAGATCAAACCGGGCACAGGCCGTGTGGTTGGTTAATGAGAATCTTGCACAAGTCACTAAAGTCACAAAAAACCTATTAAAAAGTTTTGGAACTCAAAACAAGAACGGAATATTTTTGAACCCGGTAGAAATGACATTTCTTATTGAAGCGGTAAGGTATTTTTGGTTCTAACGCTTTCAAGTATAAACTAAGTAATTGAAATGTCAAATTTCAGAACAGACTTGAATTAATTTCAATTAATAATCAAGTGAGCATTGAAAACGCCTATCGAATTTTGCTGGAAACCACAAATTTGAAAAGATATAGAGTCTATAAAACATTAGTAATTTTAGGGTATAAATTATCGCGAGTTAAACGAATTGAGTGCATACTTTCAAGCGCAGCACAGCAAAGCGATAGTAAAAAAAGATCACAAAATGGAACCAGATATCACAAAAAGAGAAAAATGGAACCATCTTTTAATGATACAAATTGTTCGGACATAGATATTAGCTCAGGAATTCCATGTACATCGTCTGAGGGTGAGCTTTCAGAAGCACAATATGTCGAAAATATTTTGAAGAGGGCTAGACAAATTATGCCCAGAGATAGTATTTCCAAAAGTAGTGTACTGAAACCAGATTACTATGTATATTCTCCTTTTAAGACAATGGAACAGCAATCCGAGATAAGCTTATTTATTTGGTAAGTACGAACCCATACTTATTTTTGCAAGCCTCCTTTTCTGCTCTCGAATAATCGTGACTGACCGACAAGTATTCAAGTAAGTTTGCAGGCTTAACACTAGTTATTTTCTAGAAATAGTATATTACGGTTCAAAAGACGAAAGTCGAAGTTTCGCCACTGCTTGAAGTTGACACGTCATGCACGCAGTGGCGGGCCTTCGACTTTTGTCTCGCGTACCTTTTTTTCTACCTACCTATTTTTCTTGATCCTCGGTGGAAATTAGCCGGAAAACGTATGTGTTGAAAACAAACGTTGAAAATGTTGTCAAAACAGTCAGCTGACAGTCAATGACAAAGTCAAGCTGTCAGTGTGTGTGGCGAGTTATTACTTTCACGGGATAGAGAAAATTTGTTATGGGGAAAAGTGAAAACAGTGACGAAAGTACGTACTTTCCACCAAGGTATCAAGAAAATTTCACTTTCTCACCTTCAAAGTAGTTGATTCATGTTGTTATTTTTAAAAACGACAATAAATCTTTAATAATAATAATACCCAACAAAACAAAATAAATCTTTGTTTTCTTGATCCCCTGAGGGATGTTCGTACGTTCGCCACTGTTTTCGACGTCAAAAGTATCACTTTTACCCATTACAAATTTTCTTCATCCCGTGTGGAAAGTACTTTCGCCACGTATGATGACAACTTGACTTTGTCTCAACTGACTGTTTTGACAACATTTTAAAAGTTTTTTTCAAAATCTTTTACTTTTCCGGCTAGTTTCCACCGAGGATCAAGAAAAATAGTATACGGTACGCGAGACGAAAATCGAAGTTCAGCCACTGCTCGAGGTTGACGCCCGAGGCGAAGCCGAGGTCTTTATGCATGCAGTACTTGTACCGTAATATACTGTTAATATTTACAAGCAACAAAACAGATCAGCCATTCGCTCTTAATAAATACGCTTTTCTAGTAAACATTACGTAATTCTCAGTTGCTTGATGCGTAAATCATCAGAGGTATTAGGTGAAAATAAAAGGTAATATTACTGATTTAAGACATTTTAAATAGAAATAAATTTGTATCATTTTACAAAAGTTTGTTGATCAAAAATTTAAGTGCGCACCCTTAGTAAGTAATGCGGAGATAACGCGTTGGTTCAAATGGTGAATTTGAAGAGTTGTATTTTTACGCTGGTTCTGGTCGTGATACAATAACATCGCATTTTAAATACAATAAAACACACTTACTTTGAAATGAAACCCTCTGTTTATTATAACACAAAATTGAGGCAATTTTAATTCTGCACAATAAAACTGCAGTAACATTTTTTCTAGAAAGTTTTGAAATAGGAAGTACGTTTTACTCCTAATTACCCAATAGGTTGGAAATGTCGTGAAGCTGACAAATTTAGTAAAATAGTGTAATCATAATTGATAATTGAACACTGCAAAAATAAAAATGTTTACAGTGTTCAAAAGTACCTCCGACCTAATACCTCGCCAGTCGTTGAACTGGTTTATATTTGGATTTAAATTGTAAATAACATAGGACCGCTTTCTTATTCTCTCAGTATTCTTGAGCAAGGCTAAAGTAGTCAAAACGATAATTTATGGTCCTTACACATGCCAGTAATACCAGATCGGTAAAATTAAAATCCCGAGATGGTCACTTTAAAAATTCCCAGTTTCCCCTCGATGTTCAACAATAAATTAGAAATAGAAATATTTAATAAAAAATTATAAGTGAAACAGAAAAGGTTATTGGAACGGTATATTACCAGGTTAAAAAAATGGAACTCATAATTTTGCTTCAATTTGTGTTCTTATTTATTCGTTTAAATTCACGCTTTAATTTAAATAGGTAGTTGACAAAGTTTATATGTAAATGGGGCAGTTGCAAATCACACTCACTGCAGGTGTTTTGATTTTTGCATTCCAGTAAAGTTTATTTCCGGAAAATTAAAAAAGACGTTCATTAATATTTCTTAAAACAATTTGTGGTTCCTCTACTTGTCAGCCTTCTGTAGTCCGATATATTAAATTCCTAGATTATTCCCTAGAGAAATTATAACACATCTCTTTTTCCATTTGCCTGAGGAAAATCCCTAGAACTAGGGAAAAATTTCCTAGTATGGCATCTACTTGTTGGCCTTCTGTAGTTCGATATTTTAATATTTTCTTCCCATAATTAATTTTTTTGTCAAACAAAAATTTGAAAATCTATATATAATTATAACAAATCTAGTTTTCCTCTTTCCTGAGAAAAATCCGTAGAACTAGAAATTTCCCTAGTATGGCATCACTGCCAGGCTTGTCGGCAGCATGCTTTTTCCCAAGCGTTCTTTCTCCATACCCACGTGTTTCGGCAGCATACTTTTCCCAAACCTGGGTGTTCCAAACAGTACCTAGTAAACATCAAAGACCAGCGATGTCCGAGCTGTCCAAAGAAACGGGAAGTGTCTTTGGCTCCCAAACACCCTCCACTAAAACCACAACTTCCACTGTATCAATTCATGCTTTTAGCATTCTCCGACAGAAGAACGAAACATACCTTTAAAAAACTCGAAGCCCAAATTAGAAAACTAAACGAAAATTACAACCAACCAATCCAACTCCAATTAACAACCTTACTACACAAAACCCACCCCAAAACCCCAATATTCCGACCTTAAATAACTCCCTGGAATTTCCCCAAAGCAGGAAATGAAACACTACACAATTACCTGCATGCTGAAAAAGCCAAATTAAACTGCCAAAACCCCGCAACACAAAACACACAACCTCCAACCACCCAAGCTCCCCAATCTCAACCCTCACACATTTCGAAACCTAAATCCATTGTTCCAATCACTGCTAAAAATCCGGCTGACTGGCACACACAATCTCAAAATCACCAACACAAAAAAGCAATACTCTGGCATTTCGTTTGCCCCAACAGACGACCACCGTAAAATTTAAAATTTAGGAAAATAACATAGGTCTCGATCCCCATATGGATATCGCAGACATCCACAACGAAATTCGCGATTTGGGTTTCTCTCCAGAGCAAACCCGCTTCTACAGTCTTGGAAACTTCAAAAAAGTTCCCCCCCTCAATCCCAAAATCCCCCCACTCAGCTTGTAATCTTAAACCCCCAACTCCGACAAATCCTACTCCTGTCCGACCAGGAGATTAAAGCCAACATTTCCAAAATTGCTGCTTTGATCTCCCAAAATCCTGCCCCCTAAATGTTATGCTAAAAAATAGCATTAATCCCCAAGGTGTCCAAAAATATTGTACATCGCGTTCTCCTTAAACGTCTAATACGTCATCATCGACCGTGAATCATCCTGTATATAAAAATATTTTTTAAGAATGCATTTTCTTAATTGTAAAATATTTTCAGCGAGGAAGATAGACTTGACTTTGGTTGTTCCAGTAAGAATACGTCCAATGTTTATGCTATGTGCACTGAAGACGTCGCATTTTATAGCTTTAATGATGTTTATTTACCATTTATTTAAGCAACATCGATTTTTTAAATACAATTTCAATTCAACTACTGATGTTTTATTGTTTATAACTACCGGAATCGCATGGCAAAGATGTAAATTTGAGATGTCGGTAGTCGCTGTTCAAGTCATAAAATGTATAGCAATGTCCAAAACATGCTCCTACTCCAGGGAGAGTGAGTTGGTTTAATCTGCAACAATAATAGTGTGATGTGAAATTATTCATTTGTCAATTTTAAAGCATTTTTAAGTTTGAAAACGTAGTAATCAAAAACTGAGGTTCAGACTGAAAAACAGAATAAAAAATTATGTCTCAATAGCGGCTCTTTTAAACCAAAATGTCACATGTACGATTCTCAATCATCAATCATATCTTGCGTTTAAATCTAAAAGTGACAAAGCCTAAAATTGCCGCATTTGAGTTTGTTGGCCAAGTACTTAATTTAAAAACATTGTATATTTGTGTGCCAAAACTGACGAAGTCCCCAAGGCCACACCAACCGGTGCACTAAAATATGTTTTTAATGACCCAGTTTCCAAAAGGATTCTGATATAATTTTTGGCACAGTTTGAAAGTGCATTCACCAAAAATGTATATAGATAGACTTGGTCAGTTTTAGCTTTAAGCCCACGATATGACGTGATGATCGCGTGATCTGACGTCAGTGTTCTGTTTGGGATAATCTGAGTATCGCCGTTTTGTGTTAGTTTGGGTTCGTTTTATTACCAATACAGCACATATTAATGGGAAAGTAGTAAGTAGTCTCGGTAGTAAAATTTATTCATGTTTTCGTATCTATTTATTACGAAAATTGTGAGACAGCACTGTGATTACGAAAATTGTGAGACAGCACTGTGAGTGATAATACAGAATTACAGAACAATGAACAATCAGGCTATTCTGTTTTTGGATCCAATTACATTAAGAAAAGTACGTTAGAAACTACTCATAAGCCCACTTGCTCTGAGAGGTTGGAAACTTTCTTGTCTGATACATACTATAACAAAATACAGTGCCCGCGTAAATAATGAGACCCCTCTTTAATTTTTTAGCCCTTAATAGCCTATGGTACGTCTACATATGAGCAAATAGTCCATCTTTTGACATAAAAATAACTAAAGTTGAAGGTAGCAGGTGTGGGACATCGATGAAAACGTCACTATTCAATTATTTGCTGACGTCTCAACCTTTATTGGCGTCTTCTTCAAGTCTAAAATAGCAAAACATCAATACAGTACGCGAAGGCGGTTGGCAGTATAACAAAACATTCAGTCTAAATTACGATCAAACCGCAAAGTAACGGAATACAGTTACAAAATTTAACGAGGGAAGGTGGACAAAGTTGACCCTCAGCTTAACTTAAACAGCCAAAAACCAAACAACAAACAGATTACACGAATTATGAATCAACACCGTAATAAACTGTTTTTAAAAAAGACAAATTTATTCAGAGCAACTGATACAAAGATCTGACCACGACAAAGGTCTCGAACAGAATCATAAAGCTAAGTCATACAACTGCGAAGGTAAACAATAAAAGCACAATCAGCAAATACATAAGTACTGAGGTTGCAACTGACTAAGCTAAGATATACCAGAGGTGTACAAAAGTAGTGCATATAACTCACGGATATATGTAGAAAGACCTACCTCAAATCATACGTGAACGTTATGTCTAAATAAGATAATTGAATGCATCCCCATGCCAATAGCACTAGTTATCTTTAAAATTATGACTACACATAATCTCGGTCTTCGGTGTCGAATTTACAGGACTAACACTGGAAATCGCACACAATCAGTGGTACTTGTTGTTCGGATGTTTGCACACATCTCTTCAATATAGTGGACTGTAGTTATATTTTTTATGAAGAAAACAATAAATAGGCGCTGACTTAATTTATTGTAAAATACAAAACACGTGGTAACAATTAGCTGATCTGATGGATGTCGGTGCAGCGATAATCGAATAATGCGCTGACGATTTACAATGCGCTTCAATGCTGTCAATGCACATGAAGTGCATTGACAGACATCTGCGTGAAAAGTGGTGCCAACATGCTGGCAGTTCTTACAACAATATAATTTTAATATTCCCTGTTCTAAACTAAACACTTGTATTGTAGAACTTTTTCTCTTCTCACCTCTTTTTAACCAAAATATGCAAAGTCGATCGTTATTATCATATTTCTTAATAATACATGGTGTTCATATGGATCTTTTGCTGATTGCTATGTGGGAATTGAGTCATTCTTTTATTTCTTTCAACAAGTTACAATAAATTACGCTTAAGGTAATTTTTTTCCCGGTCTAGTATGATTTTCTTTTGGATAATAGTTATCTTGTGAGAAGACGATTGCAGTTAAAAAGAAAAACTATTGGGTTGCTGATACATTAGCAAAAAGAAAACAATGTGGAGAATGCCATCATTTATATAAAGATTTAAAAAAGAAGCAGATAGACTCATTCGTTTCTTAATATCCATTTCAGCTTGATGTGTTACAAAAATATCTCTATTCAGTCAGCAACACTGCAAACCGGTGAACGAATCCCATTTGTTTCGGATAGTTTGCACATCGCAACAGTTCGTCCGAATTCGTACAAAACAACTTCAGTTTTATCGGACGAGCCAGTACATTGCAATGAACTTGGATCATTTGCTCCTTTTTTATGTTTTTTTCTGACGAACTCAGCTGAGACGCCAACGCGTCGAAAGGACGACCGGCCTTAAGAGTCCAGTTTACTTGGCCAAAACTACCATACATTTCCATTTATTTTAAGTGAAGATTTTAATGCTGATTTTTCTTCAGATAAAACGCAAAATTTAATGTAATTTCTTGAGTTAGGATTCGACTGTAACTATTGAAGAATGCTAAATGTTGTAAATATGAGAGAAATTTTATATTCAAAAGGAATTTAAATTATATTGTACCTATTGCTGATCCATTTATAAATTATTAGACTAACAAGTATATTGAAATTATAAATTGGTATTGCCATCATGCATTAAACAAGTTAAATGGTTGATGGTTTCGATTAATAATAAGTTATCACTTCTGTCGAGCGTCCCGTGACGCACACCTTTTTTTCTCTGGGGATATCTTACAAAACTTGATTCAATTGAAGACCTGAGAGAAAGAATGTGGAACATTGGCCTTGGAATTCCGAGAAACACGTTTACAAATGTTAGAGATTAATTGACGCATCGACTTTACCATTGCCAGGTTGCTAATGGAAAACATTTTGAACACTTAATAAAATAGAATTCCTAAAAGTTAAGTTGTTTTAAAGTTTAAAAATATCTGGGTAGGCCTTAATGTATGTGTAGTCGGTTTAGATATTGTACCGTGGATGGCCGAATATCAAACTCTTTCTTCTGCTTCCAACTTTTATTCCACTCGGTATAACTTTAGCTACGGAACAGGAACAAACTAACTTCTAAATTAACGTCAACTTCACAAACAATAACAATAACGAACGGAAAACTCGGTCTTCCGACCCGCGGGGTTTAAACCCTTCAGAACTCGGTCGCTGCTGTCACTTCACTCCCCCTGTCTGGTTCTCGTCGTCGCTTATATAGTTTCCTCCAGGTAACCCAGATAGTTCTCGAAATCTCCAGAACAGGTG